AACTCTGTTCCCTGAGCCATCTCCTAAAGCAGGGACCTTGGGAAGTGTGTCTGTCTTCCTGTGTCCTAGAGTCCATCTTGACCACTGTTTTCTTCATATTTTTCTCAAAATGTTGAATTCTTCTACTAAGGAGGCTTTGATATCTTTTATGTGTAACATTCTTTTCTCTTCAAAAAAAAGTATAATTTGTTTATGATCATCAAATATTAGCTCTTTTCTTCTGAAGTGTTCTTGGGTTTCTGTTAGAAAATGCTTTAATACAGCATCATGTTTAGGGATAGAACTCTGATATACAATGGATAGGAAACAGCTTCTCTGCATAATTTGAACAAAATGCTTTGTACCTATCAAACATAAGAGCTGAATTCAGTCATAATGAATCCTTCTGTCAATCTATAAGGAAAGTATATGTCTTGTGAAAATACTATATCAATAACTGTTTGTTATTGAAAGATATATGAAAAGCAATATAGTATTATATAACATATAATGGTTCTTATGGTTTATAAGCACTATTAAGCAGAGGTAGGTGGATCTCTGAGTTCAAGGACAGTCTGGTCTATAGAGCAAGTTACAGAACAACCAGAGCTATTACACAGAAAAGCCCTATCTCAAGAAAAAATATTTTATGAAGAATATACGAAAAGCAATATAGTATTATGTGATATACAGGGTTCTTATAATCTGTCTTCTCTTCTGCATATCCCTAAATCTTGAGGGGCAAGGTCTGATAAAGAGAGCCCATTTAAGGCTGAGTGTGCCAAAGCTTCTCACTCTCTGCATATTACCCAGCTGTGAGTCTCTATGTTAATTACCAATGAATTTAAGAAGTGACTTAGATTAGGTATTAAGACACCTGCCTTAAAATAACAATTAGTAAAGCAAAACAAAATTAAAAGGCTGTGAATTTGAATGGGAGAAGAGAGGTATATTGAGTTTAAAGGGAGGAAAAGGAAGGTGGAAATTTTACAATCAAATTATAATCTCAAAAACTTTTAAACAATCTGATCTTAGAAGAGCTTGCCAAATCTTTGAAGGGCTTGCCAAGTAGATGAGCTGATACAGAAAAGTAGAAAAATGTGTAAAAATAATAATAAATAAATAATAACAACCAGCCAAACAAACGACAAAAAAGCCAAGCAATACAGAAACATCTGTGATACAGTTCTATGACTGCTCTTCTTTCTGCAGGTCCTATGTTCTGATAGCCGTTCCAGTCACTGGGATCAATGTGGCATAAAAACTTTTGGAATTAAGTTATCCTAGTTTTACTTATTTTATTAAAAATTTTCATGCAATATATTTTGATCATATTCTTCCTCTTTCCCCAACTCCTCCCAGATCCTTCCCACCTCTCTACCTATGCACCATCCTATTCTTTCCCTCTCATCTTTCTCTCTCAAGATAAAAGAAAAACCAAACCAAACAAAAACAAAAATTAATATCAAAGTTACAAAATACCACAAAAAGCATATACAAAGCATATACTATACTCCAGAACATTGGCATTCCCTGACATGTGGTTGATATGCTTAGCGTTGAAGAAAAATGAGTTTTCTTCTCCCAGAAGCTATCAATTACAAATGGTTTCTTGGTTAGGGGTCGGCCTTTGTGCCCATTTCCTCTTCTCTGTGCTTGGATTTCATCCAGTTTGAGCTTGTGCTGGTCGTGTGCATGCTGTGTATCTTCTGAGTTCATATGTGAATCTGATCTGTTGTGTCTGAAAAATAAATTTGGTTTCCATAAATTCATCTACCAGTCTCTGTTCTTAAGATCTGTCTCCTATAACACATAGCTATCCAAGACTTGTGTGATAGAGGTGTGGGAAAGCTGTGATAAAGACAGCCCACTAGGGCTGAATGCTCCAAAGCTTGTCACTGTCTGCACATTGTCCAGCTATGAGTCTTTCTGTTAAGTACTATCTACTTCAAGAAGCTTTTCCACTGAGGGTTGATTGATTGGTTGTTAGGGGTAATTTTACTGCTATATCCATTAGCAAAATAATAGTATTAATTTTCCTGTAGGATTCATGACCTATTTAGTCTCAGGTTTTTTATCCCACTCAAAGTATCATGTGTTGGGTATTGGTCCCATCTCAGGAAATAAGCCTTAAATCTAAAAACAGAAAACAGTGGTTAATTACTCCCATAACATAACCTTCATGCTACTATTACACCAGTGGGCATATCTTCCAGGCAGGTGGCCATTTATTTTAAATTTTATAGAAACTATAAAGACCTACAAATTTTCTGATAGTGTCTTTCCTTTCTCCTTAGACCATGGTCATTTTATACCTGAATTATACAATCCTTTGAATTTGTCCGTATACCTGCCCTCCATATACCCTACCATCAGATAGGGTAGACTCTTCAATGAGGTCTATAAAATTATGTTAAAAACAAGAATTAAAATTTTAATTAAAGAAAATAAGTTTAGTCAGTAAGAAAATTCAAATCAAAACTTACTGACATTCCCTCTCACCACCTTCAGAATGGCTGTCATCAAGAAGACAAACAGCACAAACCACCATCAAATAAATGGAGGGTGGAAGATATAAGAAATATCAGATAGGAGTCTTTTCTATCAGATAGCATAAAATTTGTGTTTAAGACAAAGAATGAAAATCTTCTTGTCTTCCTCATCTTATAAGACTTTTATGTAAATGTTTTAATCCTCCCCATCCAGTAAAAACTTTGTTTATATCAAGTCCATGGCTATATTCTAGGAATTTGATAACCTGAAGCAGTAACCACTTTGTCCTTCTTCCTTCATTTTCTATACACCTGTTTCTTTCTTTATGACCACACACTTATTTCTGATAGAGGGAAGAATGACTTATTCAGTGCTAGGGAGAGCCTGTTCAGCCATTATGAAAACCAATATGAGAGTTCCTAAAAAATTTAAGACTATAGCTTATAACATCTAACCACAACCTGACTGAATGTCTATCCAGTAAACTAAAGTAAACTTCCAATGGAGATGTATTTATACTCATGTTTACCATTCATTCATTATAGCTGAATTATAGAATCAGTTCAGGTGAGCACCAACATATCAACTATAAAAATGTGATCTATATAGACTAATGTAATTTTATGTATCCATAAAAGGAATAAAATTACGTTGTTTGTAAGAAAATGGATGGAGCAAGAGACCAATGTGTGAAGTAAAGTAAGGCATATCACTGATCAAAGACCTATTGGATGTTTTATCTGACGTGTGTGTGTGTGTGTGTGTGTGTGTGTGTGTGTGTGTGTG